CTCTTTTTTAACAAGACCAGTCAGCAGAGCCACCTCGGAGCCAGGAATAAAACAGAGATTGCTGCTTCACTTCATCTAATGTGACACGCGCTCCGAACCCCACAATTAATAACCGTCCGTCCAAATGAGTTTCTCTATCCCGCGGCGAGGGGACCTGAGAGAGGAGGCCGGGCTAAGCTTTGGCGTACACACGATCCGTCTTAATCTCCACCTGCATTTAGGAGTCAGGATCCACCACCATCAATCACCCAACACCTTTGGCTCAGGAAGCTGTGTGTTAGGAACAGTTGAAAAGTAGACAGGTGGACTCCATGGGGCTCCTTCCCTCTCACACATGTACCTGGGTATCGGGTGTGTTGCTGTTTACCTGTACACACTACAGGGTGACTCATGTGAGCCCCCCCCTGCAGAGAAACTAACATAATCTGTTCCACTTTCTGTGCCACCAGGCTCATCTCATCACACTGCCCCCCCCCACCCGGCTACATGGATCCAGCTCAGTGGAGAGGCTAACAGGGCAATGAGAGAATCTGTGGTTCATACAGTCACGCAGGTCAAGCATCCCCCCCCCCCCCCCCNNAGCATCCGCCCCCCCGGCGCTGCGCTGTCAGAACCCTGAACCGTGACATCACAGAAGCAGCACCTGCGGTCCTTTCTCACCTTACTGCCTCTCTAATGGACGATGATGTTTCATAATGTGGCTTTTTTTTTATTCTACAGAAGGGTCACTGAACCTGAAAGTGATCAATTCAAGCCACTTCAAAGCAATGCAGTTTAAATATCCGTTTCTCTATTTTAATGTTGACAGAGCTAATGCTAAACAGATGTCCCACTGAGGCAGAGGTTTGCTTTTTTAAACTGTGAACATTTGAATGTTATTTAGTCAATATTTTGCACATCCATCTTCTTCATATACAGTCACATCAGCCTCATAGTGTATAGAATTGATTTGAATTAATTAATAATAAATAACATGCTGATTTCAATGTTACATTTACACCTCTTGACATTCCACATTATATATATATATATTCTACTTCTTTGCTACGGTAAATTATACCCACTTTGATAATACAATATCTCTAAATCCTTATTTTATATACCTGCAGCTCACAATGTTAAATTAAGCTTTTAATGTGGATATTCCTGTGATAAGAACATTATTGTATTATCTTAGATACTCTGTGGATAAACCAGCAACTGTCTGCCAACGTTACTGCATTTAAAAGAAGCCCCCACCTTCTTAGGAGAATAATGCTTGCAATCTTTCATTTATATAAACTAAACTACTGCTGAGACATTTTTAAATATGCCATCTATAAAATATGCGATCTTATACATCCCTGATTGCCTATTTTCTTAATTTATTTCAATGAAATTTGGTTGGCAAAGATCATACTAATCACGCTTTTTCATTACGAAGAGCTGGCTAACATTACAACCTCATTTACATAAGGTCACTCCTGAGTCACCTGCTAGATTCATCTTCGGAACGAAACACGGACTAGTTGACCTTGAAAATGGGACTTTCGCACACTATAGCAACTCATAATAATTACAGGAAGGTAAATCTATCATTTAATTATTTAATTTGTAAAGCAAACATCTGCCCTGCCCATACATCCTTAAGCAAACTTAAAAAGGGACACCAACGTGACTTAACCGTGCCTGCATGCATCAGGAGGGAGCGTTGTGACATCTGATCTGCCTTTCATCTCAGTATTTATTTACGATGACACAACGAGACAGAGTCGAACTGTCATTGAAGTGCTTATTTTCTTCTTATAATAGACTATTAACTCAACCATGACTTCTGACCTCCAAGTGGAAGGTGCAAAAGAAACAATTACCCTATTGGAATTCTACAGTATCAAAATAATTATAATTCACCTTTTCAATTATCAGCATATTAACTAAATGAATGAGTTGGTCTATAAGGCCCTGCTGAGCCTCATTGTTAAGAAGTATAATAATATCAATGGTTATTATTCTTAAGGCACAACTGGCAGGCTGACATCTAACCTGGAGATGAGGATTGGTGAGCAGAGCCTTGAGCTCCAAGCCTTCCCTCTGATGGCTGGCCTGGAGAATCCTCTGGACCTAAAAACACACACAGACACACAGCTATGGTGAGGGAACCAGGGCCCGGTCTGCTCTGATTGGTTAGCTTGGAAGCTCTGTTATGATTGGTCAACCGCTTAGAGGTGTCCTGCCTTAGCGTATCAGACACAATTTGTTGGAGCGCTAGCCGAGAGAAGAGTGAGTGTTACATGGTGATGTCACTATGAAGTATAGTCCAATGGAGGCGTTTCAGGTAGAGGGAGGGGGGGTGTGTGTGTGGAGGGAACACTGGGCCTTTGCAGACCATTGACATGCACAAAAACCTATATAGCACACTACAGGTAACATGTCACCCCAACAAGCACAATAGGGCTCCTTTAAATATAACTATGGTCAAATCTCTACTCTCTTAATTTCCTTTATAAGTTTAGAGTCTTAATAGTAAGAACCACAGTCCTGTCAAGAATTATGTAATTTTGAAAACAAGTAAAATGGTGATTTAAATCTTTACAATTATCGTGACGTCCCCCTCCTCTAATGTCTCTAAATCTGGCCGTTTGGAACAGGTATAAATACATTTGATATCTGACGTGGTCAGACAACACGTCGGACAAATTACTCATTTCTCAGCCTGACCTGGCTGTAGGCCATGTGTGTCAAGACATCTGAACACATTGATGCCCCCAGAGGAGGGATTCTTGGGATTTGGTGATTCACCGGCCCCAACCATAGGGGACACGGTCAACTTTTAAACATCATGTCTCAGTTTCATTTGAGATGAGATATCCCAAAACATTCAAAACCCCTGTGAGTGGGTTATGATAATGCTCTTTCCCTCCGCACCGAGTTATTTGGGGGTTGGTGCATCACAATTCAACTTGACATGTTCTACAATAGTTGCAAATCGTCTTCTCGGCTTACTTCTCTTGTGTAATTAGCTTGGTCTGAATTCCCCTTTTTCACAACACTTTGTTGGCTGACATTGATATTTTCATTTTCATTGTGTATTCATAGGTTGCCCCAACACCCAAACCAACAGTAGACTGTATAAGGACAAAGGAAACATATTATGTACATTAAGGGTCAAAAAGTGAACACCACAAATGTCTAAATATGGAGTTGAGCACTGAACTGTCAAATAAGCTATATCGATTAAAATATGCTAACTTTAACTTGAAAGTTAAATTAAATAAATACTCAAATAAATGTGACACCCTAAATGTAGCATTCTATCAAATCTAACAATAAGGAACTTGGAAAGCTCTTCACAGCTCTCATCTCTTCGGACGTTGCACTCTCAGTTAAATTGTTCTCATTTGGTTTCTGTGGCTCTTGTGTTGACATGTAGCGGGAAGATGCCACTGTCTTTGTCACAGACCTTGTACCGAGTCCTAACAGGAGGCCTTTTTTGTGTTGTCTTCCTCTGTCTATCTGCCTCATGTTTGCAGCTTAGTCAATCCATAACACTGATTGAAGCTCTTACTAACAAGGTGATGTACTCTCCCCTCCCCCGTCCCCGCCTCCACCCACACTGGTGTAAGCTGCCTGAGTTTCTTTTTCTAGCCGCCCAATATCCTGGCCTCCTTCCTATCCTACAGTGTGCTGCACCGCTCGGCCCGCACCAAGGGCTGCTGGGAGATTAGTTTACCCAACAGCCCAACCTAAGTGTCACACAGCACAGCCACTTAGTTTAGACACACTGCAGCTCAAACTGTTACGCGTTGTTAAGCGCTTCGGGAGCTGTGCCTGGTGGTGGGTGAGGGCACACACTGACAACATGTGTGTGTTTAAAGCAAAGCAGATCATCTCTATCCTTACACCACACTTGTCAAGACTGGAATACAAATGATGTAGCAGAACAGCTTAGTGTCCTTTGAATGAACTCTCGTAGCCTGTTCCATCAATTTCTTTTCTTAACTCTTACACATCGAGCTATCAGCTGAACATCTCCCTGCACCGCTCTGACTGCGCTTTCATGTTACACCTGTCAAAAGTGGAAACTAATCCTAATGATGCTTTTGGTGAGTGTTTCCCAGCAAACTATATCACAATGTCGGTCTCCTGACAGGGATCGAGCTCTGAGTGACAGCCTGCGTTTAAACAGCTGACATGTAGAGGCTCGGCTCGGCTCGGCAGGGACACAAGACAATTACTGTTGTCTCAGTAGAGACCAACTGGCTTGTGTTTTATCAACGAGAGTCAGGTGTGGCGAATTCCCACCTAGTCGAACATAAGATGTTTTTTGCTCTCTGTCACTCAGAAGTCAGCACTGTTACTCAAAGAGAAAACACCTATAGGTGACAGGGGAATAAAATAAAACAATATGATGTCTTAGTAGAATACCAAACCTTATATTTAAGTATTGGTTAAAGCCTTTTCCTTCCTTGTCTATAAGGAGTAGATCTCCCTGTTTACTTCATGTGTTTTACCCTGCTCACTAAGTCTCCATGCAAATCCTTCATTTTGGTTTTCACTTACCTTGTTAACCACAAAACAATTTACATTTCAAAACAATGAACTGCTTTGTTGAATGAATCATCACCTCAAGCAAAGATTTGTCTTTGATGCTTCATTGAGTTCTTCAGCGTCAACACATTCTTTAAAAAATGACCATTGTGCGTACCTCCATGCAGAGATCCTCTGCCTGCGCTGTGAGGGGCGAGGTGGGGCTGACCATGGCCATCTGCTGGGACACAGCGCTGTAGATGGTGAAGGCATTCCTGAAGTCCTCCTTGACAACGAGCTGCATTATCAGCTCCACATCCTGCTGGCTCTGCGCGTCGTGCAGGCAGTGCTGCGCCCACTTCAGAGCCTGCAGCACCTCCGCCACTTCTGTAGAGAGGCCGAACAGAGACACGTCTTACTGTACATCTTGTATTTTACGAGTGCTCATAGTTGTGGGTGTCCCGTCAGTATTTTAAAGGGTTAATTAAGAGTTATGGTGACTTTTAGAGGTGCAAACATGACAGCACACTATATCAAACATCCTTTTACAGACAACTTGTGCAATTTCATCACAGTATAATCAGCTGTGTAATGCATGCAGGGCAGAACGGTGTGTTTTTGAAGCGCTGCGGTGGAAGATTTTCAGTATGTGGGATTTTTCTCCTCCAGTGAGAAATCAAGCTGTTACTGAGGTGAACAATTCTGATCCCTAGTCCTGGTTTGTATTCAAGTCAGACTTTGAGGGCTTGAAGTTGCTGCAGTGTATACACTGGAGCTGTATCACGGCTCATAGGGCTGCTCAATTAATCGTATTTTAATCGCAATTACGATTTTGGCTGGCAACCATTATGAAAACAACCTAATCGAAGTAAAACGATTTTTTTTTATTATTGGTTTTTCAGTTGAATTGTACTTAAAGTTCAGGGTAATCAACTGTTAAAAACATAGTTGATATATTTTTTTTCAATAAATGGATGTTTTCAAAGTAAATGGATAATCGTGTTTAATAATCGTGATATCAATTATTGACCCAAATAAATCGAGATTATGATTTTTGCCATAATCGAGCAGCCCTAGCTCATAGACAGTTACATTTTATAGGACTCAACAACTTTAGCTCTACAGTCCACAGTAATGTTTAATACATTGATGAGAGCAGGTTTAAATAGTAGATGAGAGGCCCAGGTTGACACAACACCAATACCTACTGTAGTCAAATAGTATAATAAACTGTATCCTACAGAAACCCATGTTTAGGTGCACGGACACATTCAAGCCATCCTCAAACATGTGAATATCAAACATCACTGACTGTATTTGTTAAATATGTAATTTTGCTGTATAAAAACAAGGTAATCTTCTGCATGGTAATCAACCGTCCCTTCTGCTCTCACTACACACTCTTTGCAATACCTAATTGTGCTGAGTGACTGATTAAACAATGAACCCAACCTTCTCCAATTGCGTGCACACAATTAATAAATGTCTTTACACACATTCAAATGTTGACCAAGTGACGGGCTTCACTACAGAGTTGGCGCTAACCAGAGGAAGTGACGGACAGCTCCTGAATGACATCACCCTCCTCCACCTCCACCTCCTCCACCTCCGCCCTGCACTCTCAATACTCTTTGTTTCCATCCTTTTGTTTTCACTAAATGTTTGTAAAACTCCCTTTTCTTCTAGATGACCTTCTTTTCTTCCTTCCACCCTCTCTCACCCCAGTAAAGACTC